GCTCCCGCCGCTGACAAGGGAGGAGCTCCGCCGCGCCGAGGCGGGAGGAGGCGAAGGGGACGCCTCCTTCGAGGCGGAGGTCTCAAAGGCATCACGAAATAGCGCACACGACCGATCTTGATAGGGATCATCGAGGGAGGATTCTTCGGGAGAGGGGTGCCAAAGGGGAATGTCCTTGGCTGTCGGTGTTGGTGTTGTTGTTGTTGGGGTTCGCGTGGGTCTCGGTGGTATGAAAAAAAAAGCGCGTGAGAAATGGGAGGATTGCCGTACTAGAATTCCCATGTGGGTTGCCAAAGGTGGGAAAATATGAGGTTTCTTCGGATAATTTGTCCTCCATCATTTTGGTTTTTTCTCTCGCATCACCATCTGTTGCAGAGCATCCTCGTGTGTATTCAACTTGAATTTCTATTGCCCCACACATGCAAATGGTATAGACACCTGTGGAATAAAAACGGTGTTTATCTTTTACATATCGAAGATATTAAGCTTTTTTTCATCCCTATCGCGCTACATTCTAGCCCCTACCTCGCTGGTCGGGCTCAAATGTGAATGACGACCGTTATGTCTAGGTTGGTTTTGTTCTTTGGTTCTTTTGCATTGTTTTTTTTTCCCTCTCTCGTGAAACAAACGAACCGGATTCAAGGTGTATAGAGCCAATCAGGAAAGAACACCCCCCTTCCCACCCACCCACACGCTCTCCATGGATGGGGACGATCTTGTGGAGGGCACCGACTTCTGGGAGCATCGGTATTACGTCAGTCCGCATGCCGTCATTGAGGGAGCGGTCACCTTCGGTGGGGGCTGCGTGGTTTTGGCGGGTGCCCGCATCATCGCCCGCGCCGGTCCCCTCCAATTTGGCGCCTTCTGCCTTGTGGAGGAGTACGCCGAGGTGGTGTTCGATCGCGCAGCTGTCGACCCCGAGAGGGAAGGTCGCCACGAGGAGGTTAGAAAAAAGGGAGGAGGCGAAGAAGAAGAAGACGCACCGTCTGGTCTGGCGTCCTGCGGCTGGAGATCCCAAGAATGCGAATCCAACCCGGCGATGATCATCGGGCCCTACAACCACCTGAAGGCGTATGCGGTGCTGTGGAATGTCCCCTACGTCGGATCCGGGAACTGCTTCGAGAGTTTCTCTCGTGTGGAAAGGGCGAATGTGGAGCCCTGCCCGCACCGCGGCAAGGGGGTAGAATGGGGATTGGGGGATCTTTGCGTGGTGGCGCCCTATGTGGTGGTCAACGTCGGTGAATTCGACAAAATAAACGGGCACGGGGTAGTGGAATCCGCCCCTGCAGGCGACGCCGCTCGGCGCGACGCACGATTTCTCGAAGGAAGCGTGGGGCCCTCACGGGTTACCTTTCTACCATGCCCCGCATGGGTGGATGAGATGCAGGAGAGCCCCTCCCGCCCTCCGGCGGGGATGCAACACCATACCAAGGGTTTCAGCGTGGTGCCGCGGCATGGAACGCGGAGCTCCGCGGAGTTGGCTTTTATCGCACAAACGCTGATGCCGCCACGCGGCGTGGAGGGAGTGTGTGGTGGCGAAACGCGCGACTCGTTCGTGGCGCAGCCATCGAATCCAAAGCTCATCACTGAGACCCCAACGCCAAACGATCGCCTCGACCCTCAGGATGGAGTACCCCTCATCAAGGCGGTTCTCGACGGTTACACCGCGGTGTGGGAGCAAGACGAGATCGAGTCGCTTCGGAAGCTGTGCAAGTATTACCTCATCACATACGGTTGGACAGCGTCTAACAAAAAACGGTAGGGAAGGTGAGACCAGTCAGGACCCGAGAGAATTGAGGGGAGAAGTGGGTAAGAATTCAACAAGAAAAGCAAAAACGCATGATCGTATTCGCTTTCGGTACACAGAGCTGGCATGGGTGCGTGATTTAACCGGGGACCTTTAACATATTTTTTCGTTCTCCTTCGTTTTTGACCTTTTTTTTTCCATCCTTGTAGTCTCAAGCTCTCTTAAAAGCCCTCTTTTTTTTTTATTATTTTTTTTAATCTTTCCTTTCAACTGGAACAGATGTCTCAGCAAGAGAAGACAGCACCCCAGGATCAGGACTCCTTTGTGGATGACCAGCCTGGCGTACGCCCGATCCCTTCCTTCGATGACATGCCCCTTCATCAGAACCTCCTCCGCGGTATTTACTCGTACGGTTTTGAGAAGCCATCGAGTATTCAGCAACGCGCGATCGCGCCCTTCACGCGCGGTGGAGACATCATTGCCCAGGCCCAGTCCGGCACGGGCAAAACTGGTGCCTTCTCGATCGGCCTCCTCCAGCGTCTCGACTTCCGCCACAAGATGATCCAGGGCCTCGTGCTCTCCCCGACGCGCGAGCTTGCCCTACAGACCGCTGATGTGATCTGCCGCATTGGTGAGTTCCTCTCTGACACCAAAAGCTTCTGCGAGACGTTTGTGGGCGGAACTCGCGTCCAAGATGACATCCGCAAGTTACAATCAGGCGTCCTCGTCGCCGTGGGAACCCCCGGGCGTGTATTGGATGTGATGAAGCGTGGTTCCCTGCGTGCGGAAACCCTGCGCGTCTTGATCCTGGATGAGGCCGATGAGATGCTTTCTCAAGGCTTTGCTGGACAGATCTACGAAATTTTCCGTTTCCTCCCCAAGGATATCCAGGTCGCCCTCTTCTCCGCCACGATGCCGGAGGATGTGCTCGAGCTGACGAAGAAGTTCATGCGTGACCCCGTCCGCATTCTAGTCAAACGTGAGAGCCTAACGCTGGAGGGTATTAAGCAGTTCTTCATCGCCGTCGAGGAGGAGCACAAGTTGGACACGCTCATGGATCTCTACGAGACGGTGTCCATCGCCCAGTCCGTCATTTTCGCCAACACTCGTCGCAAGGTCGACTGGATTGCGCAGCAGCTCAATAAGAACAACCACACCGTCAGCAGCATGCACGCCGAGATGAACAAGGCGGAGCGTGAGGAAGTCATGAGCACCTTCCGCTCGGGTAGGTCGCGCGTTCTGGTCACGACCGACCTCGTCTCGCGCGGTATCGATGTGCACCACGTCAATATCGTCATCAACTTCGATCTCTCCATGAATAAGGAGAGCTACCTGCATCGTATTGGTCGTGGTGGGCGTTACGGCCGTAAGGGTGTCGCCATCAACTTTGTGACCGAGAAGGATGTGGATGTGCTCCATGAGATCGAGGCTCACTACCACACTCAGATCGATGAACTCCCGGTCGACTTCGCGGCGTACCTTGGGGAATAATCATTACACCAAAAACTGGCCACCTACGGAGAGACCGATGCGTCGTTTTCTTTCTTCTTTTCAATCCCCTCGCTCGTCGCTGTTTTTGTCGGGATCGTGAATATAAGGAAGCAGATGAAGGAAGGATGGAATGGGCATATTGGAAGATGGGATATGACTCATGTATTACAGGCTCTCTAGAGTGGCACAGATAGGTGAAAAAAAAAGGAGCTGAAGTAAAATTATCAAATGAAAAGGATGGTATGTATATATATATATATATATATATATCATCTAGGAAAAGGAGTGTTGTGATAAATAATGACGTAATAAGGCTACTTAAAATTAATCTTTGGAGATAGTTCTATGGATGCAATTATTAATTTATATATATTCGCATGCCAGCCACTTAAATTAGTTTGGGAGAAAATGTTTGATTAGGTTTCGTGAAGGTCCCTTATGCTTTGTACACGAAAGGGAAGAAAACCTGGTTGAATGGTAGGAAGGATAGTATTGTGCATATATATATATATATATATATATGTACATAGCTTAACATATATAATTATTTTCCAGTCTAGGATACTAAGTAAATCGAGAGAGGAATTTCGCTATAAATTTTATTTGGGGCCTCCTCAGTCGATTACATGGTAGGGATATTAACTCCTTTGATGTGCGCACTTTCTGCGTATATTTGTGCTTTGAAGTGCATCACCTATCTTTACGTGTGCACAGGACCATGTGCATATGTGTTTCATCAAGGATGAAGCCTTCCTTCCTTTACTGTTGTTGTTTTTTCGCGTTTTCATTCGTTTTTGTTTTATTGTTGTTGTGAATAATCAGAAGATATATTTTATAATACTCCTGTTCTACGTTCACCCTACTCTTTGTATGCTAAATGACATTAAATAATAATATATTTAAAAGAAATACGTGCTAAAGATCAGGATGCGAGGGGGAAAAAGGAAATAGAGCAAAACATCTGTATTACGCATGTGGTACAATTGTTAGATTAATTAAAGTATCTAATATTGAAGAAAACGTGCATATTGAATATTAAGATGGACAATAGAGCAATGAAGCGCCACTAAATAAGCATTTGTGACGTCAATGCTTGAACTACATACTCTTGCTTTCACTTCTTATCTGTCTGCCATCCATTCAACCAGTCTTTAGTATCTTAATCGGGCTACTCCCAGAAGTGTGTGTGTGTGCATTCTTGATAAATTTGACCGAGTAGAAGTATATAGACATAAGGAAACGTCACTCTATTTCATGTCATCCCCGATATCGTTCACGAACACTTCTCATGACGAAATGGTGAGTGTACATCATACTAGCCAAAACCAGGTAGATTCGAACTCAATCGCAAGTTCCCACCCTGTGGGCGCAGCGCCGTCGCTAAGGCCGACGTCGATTGACGCCGCGGTGGAGCGGGCTCGCGAGGTTCTCGCCGCGAGCGGGTATACCGACCTATGCGAGGAGGATGTGTTGAAAATACTCGAACAGGCCCAGCTCCTTCAGCAATCCCGACCCAAACAGCCTCATGAGGGCGTGGCGGCGGCGACGCGG